CACACACACACACACACACACACACACACACACACTCACAAATGGCAAGCCCACAGGCGAGCGACGGCGAAGGCGCGACAGCGGGAGGGCACAAAGACGGATCTCTCTCGACAGCGGGCGGGCAACAGACCGGACCCGATGACCGCAAGACGGTCGCCAGGCCTCAGGCCCCGCCTGTTCGTGCGGCCGCCGCTCGGTCGCCCTGGGCCTTGCCTCCGGTTCCGCCCTCGTCCACCGTTCCACGCTGCCCTTGGCCGCATCCCCCTTCCTCTCAACACTGCGCACGTCGGCCTGGCCCCCCTCCCAATCGTCACCTGTGCGCGCGCCCTGCTTTGGCCCGCTTCGATTTTTGGTCCGCGCATTTCCGTCCGCGCGTCAGCCTGCCCCCCCGCCTCGGTTTTGTGTCTCCGCCCAGGCCTCCGCTGCGCCCCTCCGCCCCTTCGCCTCGGGCTCGCCCCCGCGCCGGTCCCACTGCCCGATTCCCGCCTCGCCCTCCAACGATTTTTGTTGGGCCCGCGACCGAGCATGTCGCTGGGCCTCGCCCTCCAACGATTTTCGTTGGGCCTGCGACCGAGCATGTCGCTGGGCCCTTTGTTTGCTTTAGTTGTATAGAGATATGAAGCATCCACACAACCTCCCGACACAACTTAGAAAGGAAGAGTGGGTTAAGAAATGTGTGTTGTATCTCGGTCAGGTCCTACATGGAGATGGTGTACAACTTGATAATAGTAAAATTGCAACACTTAGAGATTGTCCGACGCCAAAGGGCAGCACATAATTAACCTCATTCCTAGGACTAGCTAATTACAATAGAAAGTAATAAAAAAAAACAAACAAACAAATTCCACTATAGTCACACCACTTTGAAGATTGTTGAAGATGGAGGTTTTTCGGTTGCTAAATAAGGATTGCACTTCAACCTTTAAGAAGTTGAAGAAGACGTTGATTGAGTACTCGGTACTGAAGATTGCAGATCCATTCTTACCTTTTGCGGTGACCATAAATGCTAGCAGGTAATGGAGTAAGAGTTGTGCTATAGCAGGTTGATTGTAAGGGCTGTAGACCGGTAAAGTTCATATCCAAAAGATAACTATCAGAGAAAGAAGCAGACTCTGCCTACGAGCGGAAAAAATATGACATATTGGGAAGATACCTTAAGGTTTATTTAGATCAGGGAACCGTACGATGATAAAGACATAGACCCGAATGCCTACTAAGTTGCAAAAATGGATTAGGCTTATATACCAATTTGACTTCGAGTTGAAATCAATAAACTGGAAGTATAATGTTGTTGTCGATGAGTTGTTTCTAAGAGGATAGTTCTTTGGATAATTACCACCTATCTTTGGATATATCTACCTTCTTTGGAAGTATAATATTGTTGTCGATGAGTTGTTTCTATGATTTGCATCAGAATATTAGAGATGCTTATGACTTAGATGCAATCTATAAAAAGGTTATTATAATAGCTAAGGTAAAGGAGAAACTACACGAATGATTAGAGTGCAGAATAGTTGACAAACTCTTTTTCCTCACTGCCAATGTTGAAGATAGGTTGTGCATGACCTCTAGTGAAGATAGTAGAAGTATCATCTTGGGAGAAACTCATAATCACGAGGGACATTTTGACTCTACGAAGACGACTGCTAACTTACTACGCTCTTACATGTGGCTTGGAATGAAGTCAGACTGTATCACGTACGTAAAGGAGTGTAGAGTATATCAAAGGAATAAGAGTATGACTCATGGTACAATAGGACTATTGAAACCCCAACCTATTCACTTAAGCCAGGAGAGTGAGTATCTATAGACTTTATGGACACCGAGGTCAAGAGCAGAAATGAGAATACATAAGTCATGATCATAGTGGATCGGTTCAGTAAGTATGCAAAATTTGTTCCTTTGCCAGCTAAAGCTGAAATAGTTTAGGTAATGCATACGTTCTTTACGCATTGGGTTAAGGACAACGGTCATTCCTTGGCCAAAACTTATAATAGAGATGCTAAATTCACGGGGAAACATTGGCAACAGTTCATGGAAGCGTATGAAGTTACTATGAATC